TACCTTAGTTATTTTTAATGTCATGTTTAATATAGTTTTTTTTTCTTATAATTGTATAATCTAGAGGAGACAATTGTAAATATAAATCAACCTTATAATCCCTTATAAATTGCTTATTCTTCATTATTATGCATAGAAGCCTCTGGTGTTATTTTAAACCATGGTAAATTGTATTTGGCGTGGTTGTGCTTTTGGATGTGTAGGTAATTTAGTGTGTATTGGTTTATGAGCCAAAATGGAACCATAGAAGAGAAAAGTAGGAGTTTTTTGAGATTTTTACTACAAATTTGATCTAAATCCATTGTTGATAATCATAGCAGCTCTAGCTTGACCTAAACGCTAGAAACAATTAAAAACCAATAAAGAATCAACAAAAATGTGTTAATTATAATTACAATTAAAAAATTTCTATGTGATTATTAATTATAATTTAAAAAAAACATGAATCTCTAGAATACGACTTAATGATAGTCATTGAATGCCTCTTATTGTTTTTGCTACAGGTCATGAACAAGGCTTGGAGTAGAAAACGGGGATAAAAACTTGTTATTCTCAAAGCAATCATTCTCACAGAATATAACTGTTCAACATTTTCTAACCTCCGAGAAGGATTTTACATTCTATAAGACGCACTTCAAATCTTCTTCAAATGATAGTTGAAGAATGTTGTTATTCTTCAAGAATGACATTTGAATCTCAGCCGGTCAAGGAAATTTGCATCAAGAATGTTGTGTATTTTATTTCAAGATTTTTTGTTTTTGGATCTTATTCTTTAAGAATGCAAAATAGAAATTATTAATCTTTTTATGATTTTTGGTCTTTTGATGTATACGAGTTCATTGTAATTATTTGATATGTAATTAGTTTAAAGAATGTTGTATATTATATTTTGCCAATAATGGATTTTTTGAGGAAAAATTAATTTCATATTTATTATCATATTCTTTTAGAATGAACACCGTACTCATAAAAATATTCTTTTAGAATATCTGAATTCATCGAATCAATTATCCACTAAAATCATATTATTTAAATTTATATAATTAATTATCCTTAAAATTCGGAATTCTCCTTTTTTTAAATATAACTTAAATGACTAAAATACCCTTACAACGATAATTGTGTTATTATATAGTACTTGCTATTCCATTTTAATTGCATAGACCCTCAAATTATAAACATTTATTATTTTCATCAATTAGTTCAGAATTGTCGTTACAACCACACAATAGATGTCATGCACATTATAACCTAACCATATATATATATATATATATATATATATATATATATATATATATATAT